CAGCCAACAACATCTAAGTGACATCCCTGGCCTCTTCAAACTAAGGCTATTGCACGGACCATCCCAAATTGTCCTAGGGGTATAGATGGCTATTAGCAGAAGCAGCATAAAATTTTGAGGCACTCCCCTGTATGCGAGCCCATCCCATAGGACAGAGGTTGTCACCCGGAGGTCCGCATACCCCTGGAGGTACTTAAGTTGGCCCTAGGGGGTATACATGGGTGGGAGGGGCCAGAGTGCTGCCACGTGGCATCCTGCACAGGCATGCCTGCAAGGGGGCGGTGGAAGCTCGCACACAGTAGCTGTTACTGCTCTGAATCCAACCACTTGGCATCCAGATGCTCGCTGGGCTGCCAGTGGGATACAATGAAGCAAAAAGGTTGAAAACCCCTGCCATAGGACATACAGTGGTCCCTGAGCAAATGGAAACCAGTGGCAAACACATTGCTGGCCTCTACCATATCTGCATCCCTTTCATGGTCCTAACTAAACAAATCAGTTAGTCATGAGCTATTATACTATTTTCCATAGAATTTTATCTTAAGTTCTTCATTAGATTTCATCGGACTCTAATTTGGGTTATTCAGACTTTCAAGAACGGGCACATAACTGATGTCATAGGCCAAATTTACTTAGTTCCTCTACCATTGACCTTGCCTCCCGAAGGCCTTATTCTTCTATCAATATCTGATACACTACAGGCATATTTTGAAAGTAACAGAATTTATAAAAGATGCTAGGTAAGCAACACTAGCTGAAATACTGAAGGATCAGCAATCTTTTGAATAAAAAAGTTTAAGGATATAAGTATTGATTTCCAAAGTTATGCTGAGATTAAATAGCTTTGTTGTGGCTCAACCAGCTAGTCAGTCATGGGGAAAAGTGTACTTGTCTTGAAAATCATGCTTAGACTCCAACACTAGTATTGGAGACGAGTTGGAAATCATAATTACACACTCACAAATGTCTGCATGACAGAGAAAGGAGGTTAATTTAGAGGCAATGAAGAGTAAATGTAAGATGTTTTACTGAAAGCAAATTTTAGTAACTAAACCCCTGACAAAATAAAATGAGGAAAAGATAGGAAAATCACATTCATTATAACACCTTTTTAATTAAGAAAGTATGACTGGTAACTATCTGGACAGCACCCCAAAGGAAACAGTATTTGATACAGGTTACAAATAGGGAGAAATATGGTAACTTTGAGATTATGACCAAGACAGTGGTCAGGACAGTGAAGTCTAATTAACATTCACAAGAACTTTAAGCAAGGAAAGACATGGATGCCCAAAGGGAGGAAGGAGGAGAAGGAAATGCTTAACAGCCTGAAAGAAACCATTACTTCAAGACAGAAGAAGAGCTATAGCCTGGAAACAGACTTTATTCCAAAAACACAGTTTCTCAACAGGGGTTCTCCAGAGTGTTACATAAGAGGAATTTAGAAAAACAAGGCAAGACATCTAGAAATTGTGTATCTAATTAAAAATCAGAGAACAGAGATTTGCCAACCAATCTCTGTTCTCTTTCAGGAGATGGTGAATTCTAACCAAGTGGTGATAATGAGTTATTTCCAGTATTCACATATTAACTGGTCAAACAACATAATAGGACAACATTTAGAGAAACAGTTTCAACACTGAATGATTGATTTTGGAGCACCTAGTTCTGAGCACAAAAGAACAGTAGCTTTTCTCAAACCAGTCTTAAGCAAGACACAAGTTAATTCATAATAAAAATATAGCTGAGACACTCAATAATCATAACCAAAATACAATGGAGTTCAACCCCTCCAATGGACGCACAAGCTACCTGTAAGTGACACAGTGTCACTTAACTTTGGAAATATAGCAAGACCCTACAGTTAAAAGTAAAATTCTTACAGATGGCAAATTAAAAACTGAATCTCAGAAAACAGAGGCACCATGGAACAGAATAAGAACCAGGAAGACCAGAAGGAAACTAATGTCACTAAATGGTTCCAGTTCAGAGGTTAGTCAAGCCACACAGAAATATTTCTATATACTCCTCTGACCCCAATGAAATCAACAAATAGGAACAAATTATAATAGATCATAGTGCTAGGAAGAGACATTACATTTTTCTTGGGACGAGTTGTGCCTGTGTTTGTCCTGGATCACAAAAGTCACAGGATTGGCATGTACATACATTTCCCTTCCAATCAGGGTTTTAGTGAGTGGCTGGTTTTCTGCCATTGATTCAATGATAAAGTCTTGAGACATCCATTTAAATACACTTTGCTATGTCTCAGGACAAACTGTTAGTGTTTCTTTTTCTATTAACCTTTTTAGGGTTTGTTCCAGGACAATGGACATAGATGAATAAATAATCACACCTTGTCCCAAGAGAAATTTTTTCTAAGGTTTGTTTGTACCGTAGAATAAAAGAACAATCAGAAAGGTCAAAAATGAATTTCATTGTACAAATGAAGTTGTAAAAAACAAACAAGTGTAAGTATTTCAGAAGCATTATACCTGCAAGAGAATCAGCGGGTCTGCTGGATCACTTGAGTTAAAGGAAACAATTCAGGAAAGAACTGAGGAACTAAATGATAATCAAGAACATAAGGATGATACTTCAAGAAGAGGCACTGCCAGAGAGATGTGTCAGAAAAAGATACAACAAACCAATCATCTAAAAAGGTAATACCTTCTAATAAAGTATACAACATTCATTAAAACAATCACTCTTCCAGAGGAGTGGGGAGTGGCAAATGCTGTATCTATATTTAAATTAAGAGTTGATATTTAAGATAGAGCTGATCTGGAATTATAGCTTATAGACATTATATCAAATTGTTCAAAACAATCACTAAAAAGAAATCAAAACACTAAGAAGATCGCAGTGTGATAAGGTCTTAATCACTATTATTTTTGCAAAGAAAGAAAGAAAAATCACATCTCACTAATTTCTTACATTTCTTTGAACATGTCAGTGAATTAGTGGACAAATAGAAACTGGTCTATATAAATTTTATTAGACTTCCAAAATGATTGTGACAAACTCCTACATAAGAAGCCACAAAAAGCTCCGAGACTATGGGATGAGGCAAACCAATGCATGGTCAAAAAGTGGCTAAGGAGGCACAAAACAAAGTGTAAGATTAAGGTTTAATATTTTCATCATGGCAAATGATTACCATTGAATTCCATGTAATAGGTTCAACAATATTTTGTACATGAATTATCTGAAACGGGAAAAGTAGTGAGGTAGCAATAAGTACAGGGGGATAAATTTCCTTAGGTTAGTCAGGATCTGAAATGACAATAAAGAACTTCAAAGACCTATATACAATCTGAAAGGTGAAAACAATAACAAATGAAATTCAAGACTGATCAAGGAAAAATGATGCATATTGGATAGTTAAATTTAAACTACTATTACAGCCAAGAAGGTTCTAAATTAACTGCATTGAGTCAAGAAGAGGCCCTGACTCACTGCAGACAGCTCAAAAGACATCTTTGCACATCATGCAGCAGCAGTCAGAAAGCTAATGAGAAGTTAGGACATATAAGGAATGGTGAGTATTAATGAGAATATTATAATGACCTTCTATAAATTAATGACACAGCTTCACCTGGAAAATACTGCAGTGTACTGGTCAACCCATTTTAAAACAATAATGCAGCATTAAGGTGGACTGAAGAAGACATGACCGATTGAGAGCATATTACTAGGAGTAATTATTCATTACCACTGTTAAGTTCTTGGATGCAACACGATTCTATCACAGATTAGATAGTTACTTGAATATGAGAGTTATAATTGACATCAAAAGTTATGGAAACAATTTACACTTTATGCTTCTGCATTTAAGCCAGCCCGTACCTACTGGAAACAGGGATGAAACCTGGCATGTGGAACATGCAGGTATCCCACATTAAACTGCTGCATGATTTGACACCTTCAGAAACCCACAATACTAGCAACTTTCAGAGACATCCCACTGGACTTCATGGATTCCTGATATGGTATGGCAGTTCTTGCCCTTCTATGCCATTTCGTTCACACCTATTCCCCAGACTGTAACTGAAAAAGCATCCAAGGAGGAATGGGGTTCACTGGCCCCTTGGGTTAGAGTGTCAATTCAAGAAAACAAGAAAAAACAAGCATGCTTTTTGGAGAACAATGGGGGGGAATGCCACCTAAATTGGCCTATTCAACTTCAAGTACCTTCCTAGGCATTATCTGCAGCTACAAAATGGTATAACAGAGCTTAATGTCCAGGATGTAAAAAGAAAACAATTCTGGTTATACAGAATTAGCCTAATTTTTAAGGTTAGTAGAAATACATACACAACAATCCTCATAACACTAGTTAGAAGATAACCAATCTGACAACTGCCATATACCATATTCAGCCATATCATAATTTAAGTAATATTTCTTACCACTGCCTTGCTTGAGCTTTCTTGCAAATCCCACAATAATAAGTGATTATCAGCCAGTGAAATAAGCTTTTTACCATCTCCCATTGGCTCCCACATAACACTGTAAAAAAGAAACACACACATTTATAATTAAAACAACAACAACAAGAACACTAGCAGACAGACATTTTAATCCTACAGGTCTAAATTTAGACTTCAAAAGTAGTTTCTCGTATCACCTTCAGTGGGAGCTTTTTCATGACCAGACTCTAACCATCCTTATCAAGTGTTCAAAGATTTTATGGCTGAAGGAAATGCCAAAATAAGTATCCTGTGCAACTTTACTTGCCATATGTATTTTGTCAATCCTGCTTAGTATCACAGCCTAGATCTCAACACTGGCTTTGTCAAAGAGCAAGGGAGAAATCCCAGCCCTCCTATGTCACAGCCTGTCTGATTACAAAAGAGCAATGTTTTTCCTCTTACACCCATTTGCCTCATTTACTATCCACCCTGCGCACTGGATGAAGCTAAGACCATGCAAAATAAACAATATGATCACATATCTATGAATCATAAATACCAATATAAAAATATTCAAGTTAAAGAACTATATTATGATGTTTCCTAATTTTGAAAGCTGTATTTGAAACATTAATGTTCGTTTGTTTTCTATGTAATTTGAAAGTGAACTAAGGAAAACAACCCAGAAAAGCTTATCATGGAAAACCACATGAATATAGATCACAAGATGATATGGAAATGGAATTAAGGATATCAGATACACAATGTAGGCCTCAATCACTGTAGCCAAGAATTCCCTGGCTGGGAAGCGCACACTGTATTCAATAATCCCTCTCTCCACCACAGGGGAGACAGTCACCCAGCTATTTATCATACCTGTCACCCAACAGCTTGGAATGGCCAACTTTTCAGGCCCAGCATTTGAAGACCAACTTCTTCTATCCCCATACTATGCAGTGTGAAGAATGGGAAGAAGAAAGGGGTAGGGGACAGAAGTGATTCAGCAGCAGCCCCACCTATCAGAATCAAAGTGGTAGGAGACAGAGGGAGCACAAGTAATAATGTCTCAATAAACTTCCTAGCCAAAATTTTCTCTCATGAACAGTCTTCACTACTCCCAACCCCACACTGCTAGTGGGGCAAACAATTCTGAAAATAGCTGCATGATATATGCACCTAATTTTCTGTAAGGAGCATGAGGCCACCTGCTATACGGGCTGGGAATAGCATAACATTAGCACCAAGGAATGGAAGAAGTGAAGCTACAACTCATCTCTTCCTGACTTCCCCACTATCCCATCCTTTAGGTCAAAATAGCAGGATGGGGGAAAGGAGTGGTTATTTCTTCTTCATCCCTCCTGATACGGATCCCTATATCTCCATGTCTATTGTAAGAAGGCCAAGAGAATCAAAGAGCCTGGTACAATATGGGTCATTTGTATTAAGTTCTATGATGCAGTATAGTATGCTTGGCTCATTTGGCATATTAAAAATTTTGCCATCAAGCCTCCAATAGGTTTTGCTAAGCAAATTGTGCTAGAATTTATAGATGACACAGACAAAACTACTCCCCCTTTTCTAATTCTCAGAAGTGACTTTTCCTTGAAAATTAAAGTATCACCCTAAGGCACAGAGTAACGTAAAAAAAATTCAGCCCAAACTGTTACCATTTGGCAAATTTCTACGCCCCTGAAAAAATGCTGATAATGGAAAATTAACCAGTCTTACCTGCAGGCATCACTACCAATATTCCTATAATAATTAGGAGCAAGTAAGTGACATGAAGCCTATCATTTGGTATCTACATTTAACAGCAGATACATTATACCACATAGTTCTATCTTAAGGAACTCCTCTATTAGTTCTTTAAAAATAAAGTATTTTTAAAAACAATTAAATAGATAAAATATTAATTCATTATAAGAGATATCAAATTACACCGATTCCTGAATTTCCAACATCCAAAAAATGAAATCAAAAGCTAAAACTACTTCAAAATTATAAATACTGAATAGACTGGATCATGAAACAGTCCCCTGTGTCATTGAGTATGAGAAACATTGAATAGGACTACAAATCTTAATGTGATCTTTAATACATTTAAAATTTTGGTATTACTTAACAGGACAGTATTGCAAATGTGTTGGTTTTATTAGTAACAATTTGGGGTTTTATTATTGACAATGAAATCTAGTTTCAACGACTTCTGAAGTGATCACTTGACTAGAGAGATCAAAACCAATTTTCTAAAAATGATTCCTTATGCTTGCTGATGTGTTTATCCCTTAGTTGCACTGATCACTCAGCACTCAGCTATAAAGACTAGATTGGAAGCTCTTTCTTTGATGTTTTCAAAGGTAGGAAGGAATCTCACATCTTTGAGTGGCACTGAGCTGCAAGGTAAAGAATTTCATAGCTGGAGAAAGTATGCTAATTAGAGCCAATTATAATCCAACTGACATACCTGAGAATGAAAAGGTCTAGAAGCATTTGCTCCGTCCTTGCAAGATGCCTATTTTGCTTCCATTTAATTCATCCGATATGAAAGTTCATTGTTTTATGGATGTGGCTGTGGTGATCATTCAGATTTTATGATCTAAATGAAGGTTACCCAAATCACTCTTTATAACAGGATTTCATTCTGAGTAAAGATGAGTTTTCTATAGTTGTAACTCAATGTTACAGTAATGGAAAACACCAAGGTTTGAAAAAAAGGAAAAAACTCCTGCATACCTCCTTACCACTGGCTAGTAGAAGCTTTGCTTATAAAATAATTCCAAAAATTACTGTAAGGTTTTTAAACTGTCAATCATACATGTGTATTTTTTCAACCCTGTATGGGACAGTAGCATGAAGGTTGAATCTACAACCTTAAGATCCAAAGCAAAGACCTCCGGTGTTTCAACTGTTATGCTGTATATGAACCAACTCGTTTAGAGACAAAGATGATACAGAGCTGTCAGTGGGTAACAGAAGCATATGGATAATCAAGGGTGGATCAGAAGGTCAGGGGGAAGGTGTAAGGAGTAATGCAGTCACACTCCCCACTTCAGCTGCTGCCACCACTGTCTCTGGTCAAGCTCAGCAACTCATGCAGCCTCTTCCTGCAGCTGGATACCGAGGCCAGTGCACGACACTGTGGGACTAGGCAGGGAGCAAGCACAGTACTAGTACTTATGCTTGGAGAAGTACTTAGCAGCCCCCTTCTCTGGCAGGACAGGGCAGGGGCTGGTAGCTGGTCCCTGCAAGCGGCATGCTGTAATCTTGTGTGCTGAGAGATCTTGCGAGACTCATTACAAGCTGCAAAATTTCAAACTTTAAAAGGTTCCAAAGGAAGATTTTCGGTTGGGACCTTGAGCTCTTGGTGGGAGATGCACAGGTGCAAGCCCATTGCACCCCAAAGAGCGAATCCCCCCAGCAGACCCCTCTGGCAGAGCCCTACCTGACCCCCAGCACAGAGACACAAGGTAAGTAGGACCCATGGTGAGCAGCAGTAGCTAGTGGGGGCAGCTGAGCAGAGCCAAGGAGGGTCTCCATTCATCCCCACCCCACCATCCCTCACCCCCTCGGCTCTCAGCCCAGCCCCCAGGGAGTTGTGCGACTGGAGCCGTGTAAATAGAGCATGCAAACAGACACACTCTAGGCCTAGTGCATGAGTTAGCACGGGAGTGTGCACAGAAGTGTGCATGGAGGGGCCACCAGCGGGCGGTCTCAGCCCCAGATTGCTCCCCCAGCAGAGATGCACACTACACCCTGTGCCTGTTGCGCCCCCAGGCAATCAAAATCCCCACATGCAGAGAGACAGACCTCTGATGCTGGATCTCAGGTAGAGGGGAAACGGAACCAGCCCTCCCCCCTCCAGGGAGGGAATTGGAGACCCAGGGAGACCCCCGGCTCCTTAGGAAGCTGGGTACCCAGGGGATCCCCTTGCAGGCAACTACTTAAGTCTGTCTACCAGGCTGCAGCAACAGCAACAACTGCTGGTGAGGACCACGTGGGGGTAATTACACCCACCTGGTCTCCTACTCAAACCAACACCTAAGGAGCCAAGTGAACAGGGTCCTCCCTGCAACATAGTGATGGGCACGTGCAGCACCCCTAGGCTCCCTAATCTGGATGGACCACCCCCACTTGGTACCTTGGAGGTCTTTATCCAGATGGAGCCTATGGTCCCGGCCTCCACGCACACAGAACCCTTGTCTCCAGGCTGTGGAGGCTGCCTGGCACAACTGCTGGAGGCTGGGATCTGGGGTTCAAGCACTCCCACTTGTGGGATGTGCTCGCTGATGGAGACTTTGAAGGGCCAGGTAAGGGAGCTCTAGGAGAAGGTGAGCAAATTGTGAACCATCAGGGAACATAAGGCAAAGATTGATGCTTAGTGCCAGGCCCTATACCTGGAGAAGGATGCCACAGAGACCAGGCAGAAGACTGGGCATGAGAGGTGCCCCAACCGATGGCACATGGAAATTGGTCACATCAGGCTCAAAGCCACAACATACATCGGTTGCTCTAACTGGAAGGATTGAGGAGAAGACAACTTGTGCTCCTGGTTCCTTGAGCTTCACCCCTGGGGATCTGAAATCGCTCATGATTCTCCTGGGGTTGTTTCTTGCCATGTCATTGGTGCCCATGTGTACAAGGAGCAGGGCTATTGGTCCAAAGGATGGATCAGCTTTGGGATCCTCGCCATTACATCTTGGATCCTGGCTCCTGGGAGGCAGCAGACTGGCACAGCTTTGTCGAGGATAGGTCATGCCTAACAACCTGGTGGTACCCTTTTATGACCTTTTATGACCAGGTAATTAGCTAGCTGGACAAGTGACATGAGGTTGACATCATTTACCTAGACTTCAGCATGGCCTTTGATACCATCTCGCATGAGATTCTTTCAATTAAGCTGGAGGGTACTGGCCTAGACCAGTCTACAGTGAAGTGGGATGGCAATTGGCTCAGAGGCCAATCCCAGAGAGCTGTAATCAATGGGATGGCCTCATCCTGGAGAGCCATCTCCAATGGTGTCCCCCTTGGATCAGTACTTGGGCCCATGCTCTTTAACATCTTTATCAATGACTTGGATGAGGGGGTGGAAAGCACAAT